GCATCACAGATCAGATTTCATTTATCCAGTGAGGAGAGTGAGTCGAGCTGACTGACAAGAGTGAGGTGAGAAAGACAAGACGATGGCAGAAGATTGTTTAGAAAGGAAATGCAAAGGCGCCTGTTTGGCAATATTTTAGATTTTGAAAAGCCTATTGACTGGAAGTTTTTTTTAAACATTCGTTTCTTATTTATTTGGTTCCACAGTGTTTGCTGATTACTTTATTTAAACTTTGTGTATTTTATTTATTTTATTTTACATCAAGGTGTATTTGCCGTGTCTCCAAGCTTTCTTATTCGTTTTGCTAATAAACGTTCTATGTTTCTTATTTATTTGGTTCCACAGTGTTTGCTGATTTTCATTTAAACTTTGTGTAGCCTAAGTAATTTGTTATTTTAATAGGCATAGGCCTATATGGTGTATTTTTATTAGTTTTGTTAATAAAAGTTCTGAGTTTGACATTGTTGTTACTTGACTTTTATTTATTTATTTATTTATTCATTTATTAGATGCTTTTATTCAAAGCGACTTACAAATGAGGACAACAGAAGCAATCAATTGTAGTATTAAAACAACTAAAAACAGATCCAAAACTAAAAGCTAAAACTTTATAAATACTACCTATACACATTTTAAAAATAATGAGATTAAATAAAAATGACAAATGCATACAACAAAATTTCAAAACTTAACATTTAAATGAAAAAAAAAAAATAAAGCTAAAAACAATTCAAAATATTAAAGAAGAAAAGGTATAAGCGTATAATAATGATTCTAACATAACACTAAGCCAAACACCAAAAAAACAACTACATATGTGTATGTACAACCACACACACATATATATATGCATACACATTTATAAATTTAATATATATATATATATATATATATTTCATTTCCATTTAGTTTGTTGAAGTATTAAAATAACTCAAATTAAATAAAACTAAAAACTTAATAAAAGACCTATACAGACATAATAAATGTAGACATAATTTAACAAAAATTAAAATAACAAATACAAATTATACAAATCAAACGACAGTAGTTTATCAGTAATCCTAAAAAAAATAACACTGCCAAACTTACATGCTAAAAAACAACAACTTACTGACACATAGTAAGAAATGGTTATAAAAACTGAAACAGAAGCGAAACAAGTAATAGGAAAGAGGAGAAATAAAAGGCGATACTTATCCTTTGCCGGTGTCCCTGCCCGGTGGAGTCGCACAGTAGAGTCGATGGTCTTTACACTCTTCGGTCTTCACACGAGGACGCCGTCACGTGACGGCTGCCGCAGTAAACTAAGCTTTTTTTATACTCGTCTAACAAAATACTAAATTAATTCAGCTGGACACACTTTCCTTATTTTCTCCGCAACAAATGGCCAAGCAAGCGCAGACACTGACAAGATACGCGATACAGAACGAGACCAAACGCAATTAGAATTGAATCAACGCTGAATTGCCCCTCATTTGAAAGTGAAAGTAAAACGCGCACGGCGCTTTTTCAAGCTATTTGAAAGCCAAGAA